CTCCACCCCACACAGTGAGAGTGACCCATCATCTGTCTGAGTCCAGCAGATAAGGATAATGGGAGCTGGTGTCATATGTGCCAGAGTCTTGTCTTTGCCTAGATTTACCACTGAGAACTCTGGCTGGCACCACCAGAACCTGGGTCTCCAATTCTGACACACGGGCCCTGCCTGATCAGTACCCGCCAGGTTTCTTATTCTGTTTTCTAAACCTATAAACACCTTCTGCCTGCAGGGATCAAAACCCTGCAGGGAACTAACAGACAGTGTAGGTGCTGTGAATTCTAGAGTTCTCGCCACAGAGTGCATCAGGGACCCATGAGGTTAGGTATTTACTTCTGTCTGCCACTGTCAGAGCAGACGGTGTTCTGGCCCATGTCTGTCGTGGGCACTTCTGAGCAAGACCACAGAGACAAGACAGGAGGCAGGCGACTGCCGGTGGCTCAGTCCCAGGCTGGTTCCTTGACCAAAGGGAACTACCAGGACAACTGGAATTTCACACTGGAAAGAGCTGACAGACTCCTGCCACCCAAGGCCATTCCTTTCCCGTCATATCCTTTCCAGAACTGCCACCATCTCATTCCAGACCACCCATTAGGCTGTCTTCACTGTAGGGGCAGAGCTGGGGGTTGTGACCTTCTGGGGCCAGAACAGTCTAGAATCAGCCAAGAAACATGATGACTATATTCTAGGACTCTGAAAACCATGAGGCGGAATCTTAGCCTGGTGGAATCAGGTGGCCCCAAATAACCAAGCACAGAGACTGCCCTGCCTGCCACAGTTGGGTAGTGACGTGGCCTCTTGATCTAGTTGGAGCAGATACCAGGCCTTAGTTGGGTGTCATATGATATTTACAGCTTGGGAATCAACGAATGAATGGAGACCCAGGATGGGACCAAGGGAGCAAGAAGGGATATCAGATGGGAGACCAGGGAAGTCCCTAAGCTTACGTTACAGGCCCTGTTCCTGCCATAGCTGCCTGCTTATGACCCAAGGCTCAGCCTGGAAAGAGGTCAAAGTGAGGAAGTTCAGGCCAGTAGTCCAGAAACCACACCCCTTCAAAGATGGCCTCGTGACCTTTGAGGGTTTGCTTCCCAATATCCCTGGTATATTACCTGAAGGAAAAGCCACTCGACTTTAGGTCAGACAAGTTTGTTGCCAGAAACACCCAGTATCTCGGCGTGAAAATCAGGAAGGAATGTCAGTTGGGATCCCACAGCCCTTCCTTTGCTTTGGAAACTGTCCAGATCCTACAACCCTCCTCTGATGGCCCTAGAGGAGACAGGGGAGAGTAGACAGTGCTTCCTGTCCCCACCTAGCCTGTCTTTGAATGGGGGTACATTGACAACTATCTCCCTGGGCTGTTATAACAGTTCCCAGGAGGACCACCAGGTAGACAGGAGGCACATTGTGGGTTGCCCTCTGCTAGGACCAAAACTTCCATTAAAACCAGGGCCTAAAATTGTATCTACTTCTGAAGCTGAGGCAGGAGGATTGCCAGTTCAAGACCTCTCTGGGCTATGGAGTGAGCTCAAGGCCAGCCTGTGCAACTTAGCAAGACCTTGTCTCAAAAGGCACACTGGAAGAAGGGTTGGGGATGTAGTTCGATAGAAAAGAACTTGCCTACCATGGAAAGGATGGTCTTTAAATTCAATCCCTACCACTATAGACAAACTTCTATTGAGTTGAGTGTTTGGCAGAATGGAGGGGGAAACACACATACTGACGGGAATTAGAGTCTTAGTCTGTTTCCTCAGACCTGTTGGGGAAAGGATGAATTTGCACAGGAACCTGAAAAAATGTTCGGGGAAGGCAGGGGTGCCCAGGTACAGAGAAAGCTTGATTCTGAATTTTAATAAATACAGCATAACAACGGTTATGCAAACTGCTTTCACTGGGGCCTTTACAATGGGCAGATTGTAAAGGTACTTTGGTGGTGGACACAGGTTAAATGAGAAGAGGAACACAGAGCATTGTTTTTAACTGAGACAGAGAAGAAAGCATTCTAACCCAGCCGCTTCCAGCTAAGTGTCTGATTTCAGACAGGGCAGAACTGGGCATGGGGGTTCTGTGATCAGCACAGGAGCTGCTGCTGGACCCCTAGGAGACCATCTCTAAGCAGATGGGGTTCTTGCATCATTGGGCTGGGTGGGGATGCTTAGTGAGGGGTTCTTCACTAAGACCCTGTGCTGTCTGAACTTGGCTTTGTGGGGCAGTTAAGGCAGGGGACAGAGTGTGGAGCCCAAACTCGGGGACTCCTGGATCTGCTCTTGGAAATGTTTTCATGGTCCCTTGGGCCTCTTTGCATTCCTTGGTACTCTAGGTGTGATATGGCATATGTCATTTAGTGTTCCTTAGAACATATTGGAAATTCCAAGCCACAGACTCCCATCTCAGACCCTCAGAACGGAATACTCAACCTTACAAGAGGCTCAGGTTTTGGAAGCCAAATGGCTTTTCTAGCATGTTCAGCTGGGCCTTCCCTGGTCAGGCCAGCACACCAGACTCCCTCCTGCATTTCCCAAAAGTGAAGGGCGAGTTTGAACCCTGGCTTTGTCCCTTCCTAGCTAGGTTCACTGACTCCCAGAAGCTTCAGAGTTTAACTATATGATGAGAACAATGGCAACAAGTGTCCAGGGCCTTTGTAAGAAGGAATGGAATGTAGGGACTCTTAATCAACCTTGTTTTGCTCTCTGACTCCAACCCACACATTCTGTTGGCTGCTGGCATCCCTGTGAACTCAGTTTTAGTTAAAGTAACTGCAGATGGAGGCTGCTATATTCTGTGGCAGCAGATAAGACTAGCACTGGCACAGTGACCTGATGGCTCAGGCTTCAAACACCAGCTTTCTTATTCCTAGCTACATTCCTCCCTCAGAGACTCAGTCTTTTTGGTCTTGAATAAGAGAGTTTGGGAAGGCGAGGTCACATGACAGAAGTGAGTAACTCGAGTGAAGTACCTGGCACACGGTGAGCCCTGTGACACATCTCTCATCACCACCGCCATCATTACCCACCCTTGGTCACCCAGGAGAATAGAAAATGCTATGCAGATATAAGGCATGTTACTAATGCACATACTTCTTGTGCCCATATCAGACAGCCTTTGGCAACCAAGGTAGTCCTGACTATGACTGCCCTGGGAGCCTACCGTCTGAGTTATCCTAAATATGGCCTCCTCCACTTAGCCAGCACACTCTGGGTGGGGCACCTTGTCATGCTTATTTTGGATATGTTCTGGCAATATCAGACAATGTTCTCAGCTAGGCTTGGTGCTGCTTTAACCAATCCTTAAAGTCTCTAGGCGTTCAGCATCGTGCCCCAGGTGTTCTTTCCAATGGTCTGAGGTGTGGCTGAGGCTTTGGGACCTTTCCAGAGCTCCCCATGGTACTTTTCCATCTAGAGGATGATGCGGGTGTCTAGGAAGTCTGAAGGAAGCCCCTACTGTTTTCCATTCATCAGAGGAAAATTTTCTCTACTTCCCTCTCCAAAGGAAAGCCCACAAGGAATGTGAACATATTGAGACAGTAAACAGCTCTGCCCCTAGAAGCAATAAACTCTCAAATGAACCCAAAACCAACAAATTGCATCCTTGGCTAATAGGAATAATTTTTTTTGTTCCTCTGTGAAAAACAGATCAAAGCAGGTTAGCCTCAGGAATTCAGGGTGCAGCTTTCAGGGTCTGTCTCTGTCCCTGCATGTGCACGTCTGTACCTCTCATGCTCTTGTGAGCATCCTGTGGTCATGAAGCAAGAATTCACAGGTGCCCTGTCTTCTGTGCGAGCTAATAGCAAGCATACCCATGCTCGACCCTAACAGCATTCACGATGGAATGGTGTCTTCTGGGAAATCTCAACTAAAGAGATTCCCAATTATTCAGATGCCCAACCTCCTGAGCTGCTACCACCCTGAACTCCAATGCTTTATTTCAGCCCATGAGGAATTTCAGGCTCCAGTGAAGAGATGTCTTGCAGGACTCAGCAAAACAAACCAAGCTGGCCTCTGCGTTCCTGTTGGCTGGAGAGTTAGCACCTGCTCTGGAAGGCAGATGGCCTTCACTGCTTCCTCCCCAGAGTCAAATGGCCCTGCAAGTGGTTCATGAAAACAGCTAAAGCTCACGAGAGGCTATGTTTCAGGTCTGAGTCTGCTAAGCTGCCTCTATTATGGAGGGACCTAGTGGTTTTCCTGGCAGGATGGGAAAATGCCCCACCTCCTTTCCCAGGATTTACATGCTGGTGAGAGGTTCCTGATGGCAAATTCTGTGGGCAGTAAAAGGATGCAGCTGCTGTGCCAAAGGCATCTTCGGCCTTTGCTCACTCATCCCATCTGTAATGCCTGACCCACCCTGACTTCTGGGCAGACTTTTATTCAACATCCTTTGCCAAAGCCTTCACTCAAAGCGTGATCAGTCCTGTGCCCCCTTCTGGCAGCTCTTGAACACTTTGAATTATCAAATAACTCCACACTGACCCCCAGTACTTACACCTCTGACCCTCCTCAGACTGAGAGCCCTTCCCAAAGTCTCTCCTCCAGGGAGGCTCACCACCTAGCTAGTGTCAGCTCCCAGCTCAGGGAAAGAGGCTGCCGGCTTGTTGAGTGAGTGGTGGTCCCCAACTTGTAGACAAGTACAGTGGAAGGGGAGGGGATTTCTTAGAGAGGTCAGTACAGGCAAAGTCTGAGAATCCCCTAGCTGTCCAGGACTAAGAGCAGGAGACTCTGTTCCTGGTGGGAAAAGGGTAGGAACACCCCCAATGTGGCCTCAGATCCGTGGGAGTAACACTTGCTTCTTCCATATCTTTGATTAGGAGCTGGCTGACCAGGCCCCATGTATCCACTGAGTGATAGGATCTACCCTTTGCCTAATAAGATAGATGTGCAGATGAAACAGGCAGAGATGGGGGGGGGCAAACATGTGAGGGTGCAGACAAAGTCAGAAAGGTGGTCAGAGATGACAAGCTCGGCACACTTTCTGTATGGGCCTCTTGCGGGGCAGCTACTCACCAGTTCCTTTCTGAGCCAGGTTATAGCTTCATCGATACTCTGGAAGCCTTCCAGCTTGCCCGTGCTCGGTGGCCTGTCGCCCTGGCCGGCACTCCTGGCAGATGGGAGCTCTCTGGGCTCCCTTAGAGGTATCGAGGGCTCTCCACCTCCACAGGCTCCCTGCTCCAAGCTCGCTTCTTGCTGGGCAGCTGACCTTGGGAAAGGCCACGTCTGCTCCTCTAGCCTGGCCTGCCATTCCAGGTAGGAAGGTCTTCGGGTCTCTAGCCTCAGTTTCTCAGTGAGGGCCTTCAGGCTGAGAAGGTGGTCGTCTGGAGGTGCGGCCGCCCCTGCTGGCCTGTCTTTCTCACCCCCTTCCACTTGGATCCGGGGCACAGACATTCTCTAGTCTGCCCTGGTAGCCAGACATGGGAGGTGGCAGAGGCCACTGGGGAGGCTTGCTGGGTGGCAAGGCCAAGTCCTGCTCTGCAAGGACCTCATGCAGCAGTGGCCATGGCTCCTGGAGGCATTGTTGGGATGGGAGTGAGTCTCAAGGCTTGGCAGCACCTGGAGCCGAGCAAGGCTGTGAAGTATGCCTCTCTGAGCAGGTGTGGCTCAGGGTCTATGATTTGTCCCGTAATCCTGTGGGGCCATGCTTCACAGAAGACAGGATCAGACAAGCATCAGCAGCAATCTTTGAGGCGGCCTCCTCCTTCGAGATCTGTCTATGTTGCCAGAGGTGTGCAGGGCGAAGGTGACGGAAATGCCCTCTTTGGGGGGAAATGAGCCTGCAGGAAGGAAAAGAATCATCAACCCTGGTCTCACCCATCCCCCAAGATGGGAAACTGAGGTTCAGGGACAGGGTTTCTACTTGCCAGTTCTTGGCAAGAAGTGAGGCAGTTTCACAGACTTCATGCAGAGCAACTAATCGAACTGGATAAAGCTTTGCTGTTTGTAAAACCACTCTTCCTCTTGAGCCCATGGAAGCCCTTGCAGCAAGTTTAGAGTCTTGATTTTAACACCCAATACACAAAGGAAGAACCGGAGTCTCCAAGAGGCCCAGTGACTCACCAAGATAGATTCCTCAGCAAGAAATAGGGGATAAAGCCAGCTGGTCTGAATCTCAGGACATAGGTCTGTCCTCTGGGCAGGGCCTCACAGGCAGCTGACTGGCCAAGTGGGATTCTGAATAGATTCAAGACAGGTATCTACTGCCCCTTAACCACCCTCACCCATCCTGTACAGCCGCACCTTCCATCCACACAGCTTCCGGCTCCAACAACAACACCTGACCTCACCTCTTCAGGGGAAGCAAATAAAACTGCAGCCTGGGCAGGAAAGAAGCTGGCGGCTGGAGCTAGGCTGTGAAACTGAAGAAGACTCATAACTCAACTCACTCTTTTGCAAAGATGTTTCTCACATTGACTTGGAGAGCCCACAGGGCAGTACCACCTTACGAGGGATCTGGCTGAGTTCTGAGATGACCACCTTGGCTCGGGTGATGGGTGTAAGACAAGGCTCTTAGCCCATCACAGCATAGCTTAGGTAGAGAAGTAGCTGAGTGAGAAACAGACCTGAGTCTCCCAGCCTTAGCATCTCCTGTCTGAGGAGACCTGGGCAAGGGATCATCAGAGTAGGAGGCCCAAGCCTTGAACTTGGATTTGAAACATAGCTTTGCTGAGTTCTATACATGAATGAACTGAGGTGGGACCACATCTAAGATAAGGCTCAGATGAAAAGCTATAGGCTCAGCTGTCCTTGTATGGAAAGGGGGGAAAGAGAGAGATGTTTATTGACTTTGTGTGTCTTTGAAAACCCCTGACTTCATGGTGACACAAATCAGTCATGCTGCTTTTGCATACGCAGAATCCCCACACCCCCTAATCTCTGATGATGATCTGCTTCTATTTCTACACATTTTCTTCCTGAGACTGCTCCATCATTACACCGTATAGGTGTAATTAATGTAGTACACTTGAGATGTGGCTGCATTTATCAGTATTTCATTCTGCTTCATTTCTTAGGGAATGGAGTGAATACAATTTGTCTCTCCATCTCTTGAAATGTATGAAACTGTTTCTGCAATTTAGTGATCATGAATAAAACCGTATAAGAAGTAAAAGAAAAATACATATATTCCTGCTCAAATGAAAATTAATTCAGGTGATACCTTATTGCAGTGACAGGTAGACAGAGATGAGGATTTAAGATGGGGGAAGTAGGTGCAGGAGCCAACTGGCAGGCTGGCCATTGAGGGGAGAATGGTCATCCAGACAGGCACGAAGACGGTGAGAACAGAGCTTTCTGCTCAGGACCACTCCTGCAAGCCTAGGCTGCAGGGAGAGTTGACCAGTGCACCCGGGGCTGCCCTCCTCAGACTCCAAGCTTACCCTCGCTAGAGCTTCACTAGGGAATGAACATTCTACCCCACAGGTATCAGAGAAACCCAGCCTCAGTTCTTGCCTTCTCTGGGCAGGTAACAGTACCTTGCGGGTCCTTGATTCCCCACCCCCACCCCAGGGATTCTGAGCTCCCTATGTGGACCCTGGGGCTCCCTCAGCAGCTGCTCAGCTTCCCAGGAGCTCCAAAAGCACATAGCTAGGAAACCTTTAGCAATACTGACCCTAGCTAGCTCCAGGCTGTGAGGTTAGCTGAGCCTCAGCCTGGCTTTCTGTAAAAAGGGTTGGTTGATACTACACATCTCTTCATGTATGCTCCCTGGCTGTTAGCACTCTGAGAAGACACAGCAACTCTTGATATTCTGCCTCTCCAGATTCTCATATGAGATCAGCTTCTTCAGATCTCTCCACGAATGAAAACTTGGGAGTGGCTTCCTGGAGCCCCTCCCAGGCGCCTGCTGTCTGCTTTTTGTGCTGAGGTGCCAGCCTTCATTCTGAGTACCCCTGGGGGCATCTGAACCCTAGAAAACTTCCTTCCCCAGACAAGGTAGCTCTGGCCACACCCAGCAGAGCTTTTTGGAGAAAGTCCAGCTTGGACAGGCTGATGAGCAGCCCTCTATTCACCAAGTCCTGGAGGGACAACACAGGCGGGAAAGCCTGCCTACTCCTGTGTGCTTCTCTGCAGTGGCGGGAGGGTGGGGGCATGCCTCAAGGCCTCCTCTTGAGTCTCACTGTGTGGCTTTGTTTTAATTACTGTTTCTGGATAGACTCAGAGAAGGCCTGAAGAAGAGCTCAGTGAGATGACTTAGCTTACGGGAACTTTTGATTCACTGCCTCCATGGTACCTGTGAAGTACTGGGTACCACTCTGGCTCCCTCCAGCCTCAGTCTCATCCAAGAAGCAAGCAGGAGAGCAGGAAATACCAGGTGGGGAGCACAAAGCCAGGGAAGGTGAGGTGCTTCCATGAGCTGGCTACATATATATATATAGGCCACTGCCAGCCGGGATCTGGAAACACAGTCAGTTTCTTTCTACCCTGCTCAGAGCTGGAAGGCAATTGTCAGGTCTGTGTTCTGGGCCTGTAGGTTCAAGACCCCCCCTGAGCCTGCCCTGAGCCTCTCCATTCTGAGATGTTGGTACAGCCAGAACTTGTACAATCTGCAGACTAGACCAAATGCAAAATGCAAACAAACTGGACTCTTGGTTTTACAGAGAGAAAGGTTCCTAAGCATTTCAGGGTGATGGCTGCAGAATATTAACAAAGTGATGGTCTCTGTTACATGTAGAGGTGACTGAGGGAATCTGAAGCTTAAACAGGGTAATAGCTGTTAGCACTGTGCCTAACATACAAGAGGCCTAGTGAAAACTACATTTAAAAGGTCGCATTTAAAAGGATGAAACATACTGATGCATCCACACTCACAATCCCCCCCACTGCGCTGAGCTGTCATCTGTGGGTCCTTGACCTTTCGGGTGACCTGAATCATCTCTGCTCTTTCCAAACTTTCCTCGGAAACCAAATGACCCTGGTATCTGAAGAGGCCCAGAGGGTTTCTTCCTTCTTCTATAACCGGGTGTAGGAGTTGGCCTGGAATGTTACCCACACAGGCCTGGGGAGGCGCCAGGAGAGAGAAGTTCACCATCAACTGCCCACTTAGCTAACTCCATCCTGAGCTGGCAGCAGAGTGCTGAATGGGTGTTTGTGACAGGTGCCATCCCTGGGACAGCTTTTGAGTGGGCAGAATGGTAGCAGGGCCCTCTTGTCTTTCTTGATATACTAGGATATTCTGGAGCCTGGGCTCAGGAAGAGTCCTCTGACATGCTGGGCAACAAGGCTTTTCACCTAACCTAGATTCTCCTGAAGCAGTAAGCACAGAGCAAAGCAGGAAGTCTCAGACCCAGGGCCAGGGCATCTGGAGAAAGAAGACAATCCTAGAATCCCACCAGGCTCAGTTATACTCCACATGGCAGACACCATATTAATAGCTAGGACAAGCCTTGCAGGTGTACCAGCCTTCCTGAAGAAATGGTGTGTGGGCCTGGGGACCCACTCTGCATACATGGCTGCTGTTCAAACATGCTCCCTGGATTCCAGGATAGCACAGGATGCATGGCCAGCTGTGAGCTAATTCCTAGGCTGCTGGAGGAGGCGGGTGGGTACAATTCCACCCATCAGCCAACACCTTGTCTCATTAGGAACTAACTTGTTCATCTGGAAAGCCTTCAAGCCCACTTCCCCAGTGGGCTCCCGGGCAGAGGAAAGCTAGGGGTCTATTGACTGATGCTCTCCTGCACTCTTTCCACTGGAACCCATCATTTCCTCTTCAAGAGACAATCTAATACCCACCCACCTACTCACCCACCCCCGCCTTTCCTGCCCCCTTAAATCCCATGGCTTTGTTCAGCTGGTTTTTCCTCCCTCCCTTCTCTACCTCAGTCCTCAGGGAGTTGAGGCCTTTCTCCTTCCGGAAGATTTGTTTAATCTTTGCTGGCTGAGTGGTGTACTCTGGTGATGACAGTATGCAGGAAAACAATGATGTCACCACAAGATTAGCTAACACTTACTAAGAGTAACCAGAGCAGGAGTCATCCTGACAACTAAGCCTGTCCTAACACAGGAATGCACGTAGAAGCCTATGATGCACAAATTGCTGTCCCCATTGTACAGATGGGGAGACTGAAGGCCCAGTTAGGTGTGTCCCTTGCCTAAGGTCACACAGCTAGTCAGTGGTGAAGTTGGGACTGGAGCCTCCATGTCTGTATCTAGGCTATCTCTTAATGGCTGGACTTCTTGCCCCTCTTTAGCAGTCTCTTCTTTTTAATAGGCTTATTTGTATATTATGTGTATGGGTGCTTTGTCTGTCTCTATGTCTGGGTACCACACTTGTGAAGTGCCTGAGGAAGACAGAAGAGGTTGTTGTATCTCCAGGAAGTGGAGTAAAACCATACAAATGCTTGGGGTTGAACTTGGATCCTCTGGAAGAGCAGCCAGTGTTCTTAACCACTGAGCCACCTCTCCAGCCCCTCCCAGGGTCTCATGACAGTCTCCTCTATGACACTGATGTCCACAATGTGAACCAGTACTTTGGTCCTGGATGCAGAACTTAGCACAATGCTGCTCTCTGTAATCAACCTAGAATGAACAGGCACTGTAAACACACACACACACACACACACACACACACACACACGAGACAGACATTGGGGTTCAAGCTTCAAGCTGAAGATCAGAGAAGCAAAGCAGCCAAGCCAGTAGATCTTACCTCTACCAAGCTGAAATGTCAATCCCATCTCCACAAATCCTCAGAGGCAAAGGCTCTCAGTTCCTGTGTCCTCCTGCCTTTCTTTGCCCAACCATATTACTCCTATCTCCACCTCCCAGGTACTGA